CTTGAGCCCAGGAGTTGGAGGTTGCTGTGAGCTGTGATGCCACGGCACTCTACCCAGGGGGATAGCTTGAGGCTCTGTCTAAAAAAAATATGGAGAAACATTCTCTTCCCCCTTTTTATGTAAAGAAACCCTAAAAATCCTTGAAATAAGAGTTGGCATCTCAGATCTATAAATGGTACCTAGTCAGATAGGATTTTTCACAGGTGTCTGTTTACACAGAGCCTGGATCAGGGAAGGAAAAGTACTGAATTGAGAAGAACAGATGATTGTATAGTTGTAGATGACTGCAGTCAATTTTTTTTTGTTGTTTGTTTTTAAAGAGACAAAGTCATATTATCTTCCCCAGGCTGGTCTCAAACTCCTGGGCTTGAGAGATGCTCGCACCTCCCAAGTAGCTGTAAATGCATCAATATGCCCACCAGGCTCTTAAAGTCAGTTTTTTCTTCCTTAGACCCAGATGAGTTTAGTTAAATGATGTGGACTGAGAAATTTAGGTAAGAGAACAAGAAATGTAGGTCTGAACTGCAATTGTTGTCCAGGTCACTGTTAGGGAACACACAGCCCCTTTACTTAAACAGAATTCTCACCCTCCAAAGAGCCACAAGTGCTGCTGGGAGGCCCCTGATGGAAAGACAGGAGGCCTTCTCAGTGGTATCCTCTGTTGTGCTTCTGCATGGGCCGCCCTCATTGCCAGGTCAAAGTCCCTTCCCCTAGGCAGGAAACAGTCCACTCCCTCCTAGATTTTTTTTTTTTTTGAGAAGTCTTGTATCAGTCAGGCTGTTCTGAACTTCTGGCCTCACTGCAATCCTTCCCCCTTCGCCTCCCAAGTGGCTCTGACTGCAGATGTGAGCCACCATCCCCAGCTAATGTCTCTTAGATCTTTGAGGCCTAAACACATAGGCCTCTTTTCTAGAGAAGACACTAATGATTTGGTGTAAGAAAAGAGCCTTTTTCCTTTCTTTCTTTTTTTTTTTTTTTTAAGAGACGGAGTCTCACTTTATTGTCCTTGGTAGAGTACTGTGGCGTCACAGCTCACAGCAACCTCCAGCTCTTGGGCTCAGGGGATCATTTCTCCTGCCTCAGCCTCCCGAGTAGCTGGGACTACAGGCGCCCACCACAATGCCTGGCTATTTTTTTTTTGTTGTTGTTGGAGTTTGGCCGGGACCGGGTTCAAACCTGCCACCCTTGGTGTATGGGGCTGGCTCCCTACTCACTGAGCCATAGGTGCTGCCCCAAAGAGCCTTTTTCTTACAGTCTGTATGCTCAAATGAGGGTGACCATGTAGCTTATCATCTGCTGACTGTTTTGAGAGTGAAAGGGACACTATCACTAATAATGCTAGGACATCCACTGTAAATTAGGATGTCCTTCATCCCAACTTAAGAATCTTCTCTTCAACAGCATATCAGCTTGAAGCGGGGAAGAGATAGCCTGGCACTAATGAGTTAGCAAGGAGAGAGAGCCTAAAATACTTCTAAAAGCGGAAGTAAAGTTTTTACACTTGTTCATGATTAGTAGCACATGGGACCCCGGCTGGAGCTGAGTTTGCATTGTCCCCTTCAGCTTTTTGCCATTTGCCAAGAGAGAGAAAGTGGCTCCAGTAGTAGCAGAATTTTTTTTCTTTCAATCTGAGCTGAAATTACTTAATCAGCAAGTTTTAACTGATCACCTAGTGTGTGTATGGCCCCATGCCAGGCTGTGAGAGTCAAAGAAATATAATCACTGCTCACCTTCAGTTAATGGAGGCCCTGGTAGTTTGTGTGTGTGGTATATGGGAAGAGCAGTGGCTGGAATGAGCAGCATCAGAGTCTGGTCCCTGCTCTTCTTGATCTCAGACCAGCATGCTTCCCATCCCTGGGCTTCAGTTTTCCCGGGCCTCTCTCAGAGGCTGGCTATTGCATCTTCTTTAGTTGGACAAGATATGCTCTGTGATTCTTTCCAACTCTGACCATCTGTATTCATTATTTATTACTACATAATGAATCACATACACCCCTCCCTGCACAACACCACTTAGGAGCTTCAAATAACAAACATTTTTATCTCACACAATTTCTGTTGATCAGGAATCAGGAACTGGCTTGGCTGGGATGTTCTGGCTCAAGATTTCTCACCAAGTGGGAGTCAAGATATTAGTTAGGGCTGCAGTCATCTGAAGGCTTGACTGGGGGTGGAGGATCCACTTTCAGGGTAGCTCATTCACACCCTGCTGCTGGGTCTTGAGTCTCTCCATAGGGCTGCTTGAGTGTCCTCATATCATGGCAGCTTGCTTCCTCCAGAGCAAATGATCCAAGGAGAGATCAGGGCACAAATTCTGGTGGTTCTAGCTTCAGAAGGGACACTTCATCATTTCTGCCTTATCCTCTTGAGTTAACAGGTCAGCCCTTTCTGACCTGTGATGGTCTACATAAGGGCATGAATACGAGAAGGTGAGACTCAGAGCTCCTCTGAGAGGCTGGCTATTGCATCTTCTTTAGTTCTGTGATTTAAAAGTCAATTAGTAAACACAAAATCAACTATACATTCTGAAAACTTGTTCAGCATTGTTCCTCTGGATATGAGTGGTTGATTTGTAGTTTTTCTCTTTTAAATATTTCTAGAAACTCTAATGGCTCTCCTAACCGACTGCTTAAAGCTGGAGTTATTTCTGCCCAAAATATCTACAGCTTTGGCTTTGGAAAGGTAAGAGATTACTACTGTTTGCCAGCAGTTGTGGGACTAACTAAGGATTTCCCACCTTTGTGCAACTCCTCGCTTTTCCTCACCAAAGTGATTTTTCCCCTTTATTCCCTTTTGAGAAAAAGGTATCTTTTAATGTTCTTGCCTTTAGTAACAAATGGTCAAAACCCTGGACCATTAATGATCCTGGGCTAGATTTGGGGAGTTTAGAAAATGGTCCTTTAATTCTCACTGAAGACCCGGGGCACATTCTCTTTAATAGAGAGGCAGAGATCTGTGGGGGCCACAACAGGACCCTTGGTTCTAACTTCGGTGCTTTAGGCCAACATCTGACCTTTTTCTAGGAGGTTCAGTTTCTTTATTAGTAAAAGAAAAAGAATAATACAACCTTGTAAATTTTCTAGGAAGATTAAAGATAATATGAAGAATAATGTCCAGTTAGTAGGGGTGGGTATTCATCAAGTTGGTAAGTAGCAGCTATCATTATTTTAGCTGGTTGATAAGATTCTGGAAATATTTTGCTTTTCTTCCCTTCTCCATACAAATTGAGGCTGTGCTTTGTTTCAGTTTTACCTTACAGGAGGGACACAGCTTGCCTATCTAGGATCTCTTCCAGTCATTGGAGAAAAGGAAGTGATTCAAGCTGATGATGAGCCCACCTCCTCTTTCTTCAGTGGCCCCTACATGGTCATGACCAAGTAAGAAGGGGTGGGCCAGTAGAAGTTGTGATTTAGTTCCATGGGAAGAATGGGCTCCATGTGACTCCCTTCTGTGTGGAACGTTTTTGCTCAATTACCCAGAACTCTTTTTTTTTTTTTTTTGAGACAGAGCCTCAAGCTATCCCCCTGGGTAGAGTGCCATGGCATCACAGCTCACAGCAACCTCCAACTCCTGGGCTCAAGCGAGTCTCCTGCCTCCACCTCCCAAGTAGCTGGGACTACAGGCGCCCGCCACAATGCCCGGCTATTTTTTTTGGTTGCAGCCGTCATTGTTGTTTGGTGGTTCCGGGCTGGGGATTGGAACCCGCCACCTTAGGTGTACGTGGCTGGCGCCTTAGCCGGTTGAGCTATAGGCGCCTAGCCAATTACCCAGAACTCTTTAAGAACATATGTCTAAATCAGGATTTCTTTTTTTTTTTTTTTTTTGAGACGGAGCCTCAAGCTATCCCCCTGGGTAGAGTGCCATGGCATCATGTTCACAGCAACCTCCAACTCCTGGGCTCAAGCGAGTCTCCTGCCTCCGCCTCCCAAGTAGCTGGGACTACAGGCGCCCGCCACAGCGCCCAGCCATTTTTTGGTTGCAGCCATCATTGTTGTTTGGCGGGCCCGGGCTGGGGATTCGAACCCACCACCTTAGGTGTATGTGGCTGGCGCCTTAGCCGCTTGAGCCACAGGCGCCAAGCCTAAATCAGGATTTCTTAACCTGGACATTACTGCCATTTTTGGCCAGATGATCCTTGTTGTGGGAGTGGTCCCATGCATTGGGGGATGTTCAGAAGCATTCCTGGCTTCTACCCACCAGTGTCAATAGTAGTGCCACTATGATCCCTGTAGTTGTGAAAACCCAGCTGTCTGCAGACATTGCCAAATGTCCTCTAGGAGGAGAACTACTGCTCCGAAAGATTAATTAGTTCAATATTTTAGCTTCTCTGCTTTCTAAAGAGTTAGAGGCAGCTTGGTGGTGACAATCTTGCCTCTGATATAGGCAAAAGGATGGTAAGGCCCCTGTAGATACTGGAATAGGCATTAGCCATAGTTCTCAGGAGCCAAATCCAGTAATGGGATTTGTTTATGACAAAAGTCCCTGGGGATGCTCTTAATCCCCAGAGACCCAGCCTTTGCAGGGTCATGGGGGTTGTCTTGGCCAATGTCTCTCAGCCTCTTTGAACCTGAATGCCTCTTTCCTGCTTAGAAGAAACACCCTCCAAAAAGGCCCTTGCCAGATTTGCAAGGCCTTCTGTCCTTGTGTCTGCCTCTTGTTTTTCTGCCCAGGCCTTGGGTTTGTTATCAGCTCTCCTTTTCTCTGTTCCATTGCTGCTGTTTTTGCCTGAGTCATCACCATCCCTCACCTGGACTGACCTTGTAACTGGCCTTCCATTTTCTGGACTACCCTTGTCCTACCCATTCCCCACACTGTTGGTACCATTGTCTTTCTAAAATATAAACCTGATCAAGTCACTCCCTCCCAGTCACTTCCTACCACCTGCTCCTAAGTTCCTCAAGGAGCTTTAGTACCTGGGGATAGTGGGAAGGAGAACCCAGCAGTGTCCAGTGGGTGTTACAGGTTCTGTGTAGATACCACTTCTCTGGGAAAAGCTCAGTCATTGAAGAAGTGGCTGCTCACCCTCTCCTGCTCAAATTCTTTCCTGCCCTTTTGTAGCCTGGTATGGAATGGGAGCAGGGTGACAGTGAAAGAGCTGAATCTCCCCACCCACCCACACTGCAGCAGGCTGCGGCTGGCCGACTTGTTAATTGCAGAGCAAGAACACAGCAGGTAAGGAGGAGACCCAACACCAGCCGCTTATAGTTCTAGGTCTCTTTGCAGACCCAGGTTCCAGGCTATACAGAGCTATCCCTGGGGTATGGAACACCAGCCCCCTCAGCCTCAGCATTTCCCCATGTCTCTGAATAGTCTAGCTCCCTGCTGCAGCCCATGAAACCCATTCATTTTGTTCCCATTAGGACACATGTAGGTATTGTGTTTTCATAAAGCATGGCTGTGCATGAGATCCAGATATCTGAGGAACCATGCCATTGAGGACATGCTCACAGGTCTCCAGAACTTAGATTTCCTGGAGCTCCAGGGTTAGGTCCTTTAGTTCTCACTAGGACGGGCTCTAAATTCATGTTTTGTTTTGTTTTTAATAACAGGACCACTGAGGCTGAAATAGAGGATAAATCTGGCTTATTTGAGTGTTCTCCTGAGAAGGCCACGCAATTTCTATAGGAGGTGTCTAGAGACTCCAGATTCTTCCTTCTGGGGAAGTTACCCTGAAAGAACCCCAAGGAAGTTAGAAGGATGCATAGATACAATGTAGACTTTGACATGAGACTGAGTGGGGTGTGTGAACTTCAGCAGGTTTCTAATATTTTCATGACATTTGTTTCTTCATCTCCAAAATGAGTATAATGATACATTTCCTGCAGGTAGCTGTTAGGATCTCAGATGAAGTATGCAGAATATTTTGCTTAGAAACTCTTAGAGATATTATTATTATTATTATTATTATTATTTGAGAAAGAGTCTCACTATGTTGTCCTTGGGAGAGTGCTGTGATGTCACAGCTCATAGCAACCTCAAACGTTTGGGCTTAAGCGATTCTCTTGCCTCAGCTTCTGGAGTGGCTGGGACTACAGGTGCCCACCACAATGCCTGGCTATTTTTTTGTTGCAGTTGTCATTGTTTTAGCTGGCCTGGGCCGGGTTCAAACTCCCAGCCTCGGTTCATGTGGCCAGTGCTATAACCACTGTACTACGGGCGCCAAGTCATCTTAGAGACATTACTGTCATTGATGGCTTTAGGCTTTCAGGGTCTAATCAGCAAAAGGCTACAAATTCTACTACCAGAGATCTCTTCCACCAGCACCCCATCCTATTTTCTTAAAAATATGTAGAAATGGTATTAGACTGGTGTTCCGAGGGCCTAGAGAAAGGGCAACACTCGTTTTTTCATCATGTTTCCCTTTCCCCTCCTCCATCTGAAGCTTCTTCTCTTGTAGCAAGTTACGGCACCCCCACCTACTGCAGCTGATGGCCGTGTGCCTGTCCCAGGACCTGGAGCAGACCCGTCTTGTGTATGAGCGCGTCACTGTTGGCACGCTGTTCAGCGTTCTCCACGAACGAGTAAATAGCTGTTTTCCTAGCTTTTCCCTTAGCTGCCCACCTGTTTCTTCCCTGCCCTAGCTGTAGAGATCCCATTCACATGTGCATAGAAAATAAATCTCTTAATTTTTTTGACTTTATGCAGGCCATATAACATGCCATTTAAAACTGATAAGCGTATGCTTAGGACTAATATGATTTTTATTATTGTCATTCCTGCTTCTTTTTTTATCACACTCTTACGAGGGCAGCAGACCCAGAAAACATACAAGCATGTTCCTAGCTAATTGTAATTCAACAGCCCTGACTTTATTTTTCTACGTTGTCACTTGTGTGCTATCTTGCCTTTTTTTTGAGACAGAGCTTCACTCTGATGCCCTGGGTAGAATGCTGTAGTGTCATAGCTCACAGCAACCTCAAACTCCTGGACTCACTTGGTCCTTTTGCCTCAGCCTTCCATCTAGCTTAGGCCTAGAGCCTGCCATAATGCCTGGCTGATTTTTCTATTTTTAGTAGAGATGAGATCTTGCTCTTGATCCAGCTAGTCTTGAACGCCTGAGCTCCTGCAGTCCACCCACCTCAGCCTCCCAGAGTGCTAGGATTATAGCTGTGAGCCACAGTGCTCAGCCCTACTTTGTTTTTTTAGAGGCCTATATTGTTCCCCTCTCACCTCAAATTTCTTTGGGGTTAGAGGACATCTTTTGTGGCCTACAGATTCTGTGAGAAGTGTATTTTGGGCTTAGCTGTGGTTTTCAGAGAGCTCCTGGGAGATTTGATTTTTTTTCTTTTTTTTTGAGACAAGAGTCTTACTATGCCAAGTAGAGTGCCGTGGCATCACAGCTCACAGCAACCTCAACTCTTGGGCTTACGCCATTCTCTTGCCTCAGCCTCCTAAGTAGCTGAGACTACAGGCACCCACCACAACACCCGGCTATTTATTTTTTTTGTTGGAGTTGTCACTGTTGTTTAGGTGGCCTGGGCTGGGTTCGAATCTGCCACCCTCAGTGTATATGGCCGGCACCCTACTCACTGAGCTACGGGTGCCGCCCATGTAAGTGAATTTCTATTCCCTTAGGATGAACTTTCTTATTTATCTGACTGGGGTAGGGGCTGGACTGGTTATCTGCATCCTTTGGAGTCCTTTAGCTTCCAGGTTCTCTCAGCAGCATAGGCTTGGACAGGGAAGGGACAGAACAGGTTTACTAGTGGTAATGGGGGGAACTCCCCTGGCAGTTTTCCCCAGGTCAACCCTGGATCCACACCAGGCTTTGAGAACTTTCTCTTCATTATTTGTGATAGGAAGCGGCTCAGCTGAGAAAAAGGAGCTGAGGGCACCTGGGTCAGTGGGGCCTTAGACCAGTTACTTAGCCTCACTGAGCTTTAGGTTTTCCCTCTATGTAAAATGGGGGTCCTTCCATGAGGATCAAATGGAAAAACTTTGGAAATGCAGCGTCAGGGTCCTGGTTCCTTTTGTTCCTGGTGTTTAATCTCTCTTGCAGCGGTCCCAGTTCCCGGTGTTGCACATGGAGGTGATTGTGCACCTGTTGCTCCAGGTCTCTGACGCACTGAGATACCTGCATTCTCGGGGGTTTATCCATCGCTCCCTCAGCTCCTATGCTGTCCACATTGTTTCCACAGGGGAAGCGAGGCTGACCAACCTAGAGTACATGATGGAAAGGTGGGTGCATCCTGGAATGTGACTTCCTCCTAAAGAAGGTCTCTGGGGAACTTTTGCTGTAGAGATAGAATCTGATCTGGGTGGGACTCCTTGTTGGTGGGCTGAACTGCCCTTCAGTGAATGAAGAGGTTTCCCAAATGCCTTACCCTGTCTGCCAAGACTAGAGGGACTTTGGGGAATTTACTTCTACTCAGGATATATATATATATATATATATATATTTGAGACAGAGTCTCACTTTATCACCCTTGGTAGAGTGCCTTGACATCATAGCTCACAGCAACCTCCAACTCCTGGGCTTAGACAATTCTCTTGCCTCAGCCTCCTGAGAAGCTGGAATTACAGGCGCCTGCCACAATGCCTGGCTATTTTTTGGTTGCAGTTTGGCTGGGGTCGTGTTTGAACCCACCACTGTTGGTATATGGGGCCAGTGCCCTACCCACTGAGCCACAGGGGTACTCAGGATATTTTAATGAACATTTAACAAGTAAGAGCTCATATTAATCTATATCCATATACATAATATAGTCCACTAAAAAATTTTCAGTGTCTTAACACAATACGAGGTGTATTTCTCACTCAGATTGCAGTCTAATACGTGTATTAAAGCATGGCAGTGTTCGATGTCTGTCCCATCCACCTTTTGGGCTTTGGTACCCTGTTGTATTCTTTTTTTTTTTTTTAGTGACAGAGTCTCACTCTGTTACCCTGGGTAGAGTGTCATGGCATCATAGATCACAGCAATCTCAAACTCTTGGGCTCTAGTGATACTCTTCCCTCACCCTCCCAATCAGCTGGGACTATAGGTACCTGCCACGATGCCCAGTTATTTTGAGTGGAGACAGGGTCTCATTCTTGTTCAGGTTGGTCTTAATTCTTAAGCTCAAGTAATTCACCTGCCTCCGCCTCCCAAAGTGGTAAGATTATAAGGCACGAGCCTCCTTGCCCAGCTCCTGTGCGTTCTTTGTGTTTGCAGTCAGTGAGCAAGAGAGAGAGCATGGAGGGGACCCAGGTGGGGTTTGGGGCCAGCCTAAAGTAGGTAATATCATTGCTTCCCACTTTGCAATGGCTAGAGCACAATCACCTTTACTGTAGGAAGGCTGAGAAATGTGCCTTAGCTGTTCATCCAGGAAGAAGAGAGAAGGTGATAGATGAGCCTGATGGCCTATCACACCCTCCACATCCAGGCTAGGCTCATTAAGGGTTGGTGGATGGGCTTAGTTTCCTTCGGGCTGGAGTCAAAAGTTTTCCTGAGAGTTGAGGACTGACCTCCCTTCTCCCCGCTAAGCTCTGAGTAGATCTCTCCTGTACTTCTCTGCTGCCTGGCCCCGAGCCTTTGCCCAGTGTTGATGCCACTCTTCTGCCATTGGGCAGACCTCTTGCTTAGACCCATCCACCTCCTCTTACCCTGCCTCCTGATGCTTTGTTAAAAGCTAGGTCTTCGTTTCTCACACACTTCGTAATTTTTCTTGCTAGATGAAAAACTCCATGAGGGCAAGGATTTCTGTTGTTATTTATTTATTTATTTGCAGAGTCTCACTTTGTTACCCAGGCTAAAGTGCTATGACATCAGTTTAGCTCACAGCAACCTCAAACTCTCAGGTTCAAGTGATCCTCTTGCCTCATCCTCCCCAGAAGATGGGACTACAAGCACACACCATCAGGCCAAGCTAGTTTTTCTATATTTTCTAGAGTTCTCAGTTGTGCTCAGGCTGGTCTTGAACCTCTGAGCTCAAAGGAATCTCCCTCCTCAGCCTCCCAAAGTAATAGGATTACAGACAGGAGCCACCAGCATGTTTTTTGAATCCATGCAAGACTTACCTCCCCAAACTTTGAGTGCCTCTTACCCCCTGCCTGGAAAGGAGGGTAGGAGCTGGATTGTGCTTGGCCTTGCGGGCCCTGGTGAGGAGTTTGATTTCATCCTGAGAACACTCGTATGTTGTGTTTTGTTTTTGTTTTTCTTTTTTGAGACAGAGTGTGACTTTGTCTCCTGTAGAGTGATATGGCGTCACAGCTCACAACAACCTCAAACTCTTGAGCTCAGGTGATTCTCTTGCCTTAGCCTCCCAGTAGCTGAGACTACAGGCGCCTGCCACAATGCCTGGCTGCTTGTTTTTTGTTATTGTTGTTGTTGTTTAGCAGGCCCTGTCTGGGTTTGAACTCATTAGCCCCAGTGCATGTGGCTGGTGCATTAGCTATGAGTGCTGAGCCTGGGATATTGATTTGAGCATTACAGTGTCATGGTTAATTTATAGGTTAAGAAAATAAGAACCTTTTGGCTTCTGTGTTTAAAGAAGGGGCTGTGATGGGGCAGAAAAGAGTAGGTGTGCCATTAGAGTATGGTGAACTGCTGCAGGTTTCTACTTGGGAATAGGCAGAGGCCAGTTAAATTGCTCACCTCAATGTGAATTAAACATTCAGGGGCTTCTTGTTGCCTATAATATTAAGTCTCGGTACCTTTGCAGAGAATAGAAGATGGGGCTCCACCTACAGAATCACTGTGATGACTACCTCCACATCCTCTTAGCTATTCAAAGCCACTTTCAGCCCATGGCCTTTCACAGTGTTGCTCCAAGTGTCTAAATACCTGCACACCTCTTTGAGTCTTTTTTGGTCCTTTTTTTCTTTTTTAAAGAGACAGGTTCTTGTTCTGGTACCCAGGCTAGAGTGCCGTGATACCATCATATCTCACTTCATCCTCAGACTCCTGGGCTCAAGCAGTCCTTCCATCAGCCTCCCAAGTAGCTGGGAGTATAGGCATACCTATACTGGCTAATTTTTAAAATTTTTTGTAGAGACAGTCTTGCTGTGTTGTCTAGAGTAGTCTCAAACTTCTGGCCTCAAGTGATCCTTCTGCCTTGGCCTCCCAAAGTGCTGGGGTAACAGGAATGAGCTACTGGGCTGGGCCCTCTTTAGTCTTTTAAATTCAATTCAGACACAGCCTCCTATTATATACCCACCCCATGAAGGTGTACTAATGCCCCCGTCTACTGAGGCACTTTGCATATTGCTCTCACATACATTCCTCCGGTGCACCGCAGTCATTTCTGTACAAGCAAGTTGGCCCCACTATATGTGGGTTCATCACCAGCTCAGAGCCTGCCATGTGGTAATTGCTCAGTAAATGTTTCTTAAATGATTGGATGAGTCTAGATGAAGGAAAAACTTGATGCAGTTGAGAGCAGGGTTGACCACTTGGCTGAGTGTTCAGGAGTAGTGAAAGTTAAGGAGTTTGGAGATTTTTGCTATTGATAACACCAGAGGGTTTTCAGGAAGGCTGTGATAGGATCCAAACTGTTTGTCAGTGATGGAGTGCCATCTGCTGTTACAGTGGAGGCATAACAGTTTCTTCTGCTTTGTTCTCCAATGAAATGAGAATCTTGGAGTGAAATGGAGAGCCCTACCCAACCCTGTCCTCTTATAGATGAGGAAACTGAGGCCCAGAGGGGTGAAGGGATGTTATGAAGTTGCCCAGTTGGTTGGTTACAGGTACAACTGGGGCTAGAATCAGGTGGAAGTGGATGCCTCCAGGTTATTGGAGCAGGCTGGATTGGAGTTTGAGGTTGGGAAGATCAACTAGGAGGCCATGGGACAGGGACTGGTGGTGACCAGAGAGGCAAAATAGAAGGAAAAGAAGTGAAATTCACAGAGGAGTGGGAATCAACAGCTGGCCAAGTGAGAGAGTAGAAGGCAATCAGGGTCTGTGAGTGCTACTAGGAAGTCCAGAGGTACTAAGTATGTAGGAAGGTGTGAGTTTTCCTATGGGCTGGTTGACCACAGAATGGTGCTTTAGGCAGAAATGTCAGTCTGCAAGCTTTCTGTTGTTGTGCCCAGGAGTCCCACAAAGACCACACTGCCAAACAAGCCGAATTCTTAGCAGAGTCCTTTTACTGAAGAGCTGGCTGGCGACTGCCTCAGTGTCTCAACATGGGGTTTCTGAGAGCAGCCCCGAGTGCTTAAGGAGGTGGGTTTTTAAGGCTTGGTCTGCATCCTGGTTGGCACACAGGCTGTCCAGGTGCGTTTGGGTGGGGTAGCAAGCAAGCATTGTACAGAAGCAGAAATTTGCAGTTAGTTATACATCATACATCTTTGTTTTAAAATTTTCGTCCTATACATCTTAGTTTCAGTACTTTCTCTCCATACATCTAAGTTTACCTCCCAGTCTGTTTCCCAGGGAGTTAGCCAAGCAAGAAACTGGGAATGAACTAGAAGCAAGAAATCAATTCCTACTTTCTAATTTATCTTGGGAGTGAATTAAACTTATTTCATTTCATTTGAAAGTTTGCAATCTGGAAATTTGCCAGGAGTTAACTGGTATTTTTCCATTATAGCCTAGGCCTAACACCTTTCTGTCTTAGCCTAGGGTAATTAAGCCTATCACTATAACAGTGTACCCTTCTCTGAAAGCTGATGATATGAGTTGATGATTCAAGAACCCAAAGTAGCCTTTATTTCTACCTTTTTTTGAAACAGAGTCTCACTGTGTCACCCTTGGTAGAGTGCCATGGCATCACAGATCACAGCAACCACAAACTCTTGGGCTTAAGTGATTCTCTTGCCTCAGCCTCCCAAGTAGCTGAGACTACAGGCGCCCGCTACAGCGCCCAGCTATTTTTTGGTTGCAGCCATCATTATTGTTTGGCAGGCCTGGGCTGGATTCAAACTCACCACCTTAGGTGAATGTGGCTGGTGCCTTAGCCAATTGAGCCACAGGTGCTGAGCCACCTGGCTAGTTTTAGAGACAGATTGTCACTCTGGCTCAAGCTGGTCTCTAACTGATGAGCTCAGGCAATCCACCCACCTCTGCCTTGCAGAATGCTAGGATCACAGGTGTGAGCCACTGTGCCCCACCCATTTTTTTAATTAAAAAAAAATTTTTTTTTGAGATAGAATTTCACTATGTCCCCCTCAGTAGAGTGTTGTGGTGTCATAGCTCACAGCAACCTCAAACTCTTGGTTTTAAGTAATTCTCTTGCCTTAGCCTCCCAAGTAGCTGAGACTACAGGTGCCCACTACAACGCCCGGCCATTTTTTTGTTACAGTTGTTGTTGTGCAGCTGGCCCAGTCCAGCTTTGAACTTGCCACCCTCGGTGTACGTGGCTAGCACCATAACCACTGTGCCATGGGTTCTAAGCCTCTACATTTATTTTTGATAGCATTCCACTTGGCTTGTCTGTCTCTTGAATGTCATTGTCAAGGATAGCATTCCATGTCTTGGTGTGAAAGTGATGCAATAGTTTTGCTAACCCTTCAACTGCTTAATGGAATGTTTAGAGCTGGAACTGACCTCATAAATGGTGTCATGTAGCTTCAGCCAAATGTAATTTTAGTGATGTCAAAGCTGAAGCCTAGAAAATAACAGTCCTGGAGTAATAGCTATAAAAGAAGTCCCTCGCCTCCAGCTAGCTTTAATAGAGAATGAAAAAGGGATTGTACTTGTGGAAGGTAGGAGGAAGTAGAAGAGAAAGGACGGGCTCGGTGCCTGTAGCTCAAGTGGCCAGGGTGCCAGCCACATACACTAGAGCTGGCAGGTTTGAATCCAGCCCAGGCCTGCCAAACAAGGACAACTATAACCAAAAAATAGCCAGGCATTGTGGCGGGCGCCTGTAGTCCCGGCTACTTGGGGGGGCTGAGGCAAGAGGATTGCTTAAGCCCAAGAATTTGAGGTTGCTGTGAGCTGTGATGCCACGGCACTCTACCCTGGGCGACAGCTTGAGACCATGTCTGAAAAGAAAACAAAGAGAAAGGACTTAAATCCTGTTTATAAATAACTTGTCCTTTGTCAGGGCTTTAGATGATCCTGAGAGTCCTGAGAATAGTTTTTCTCTTGAAGAATTGTACCCCCTGCTTGGAGAGCCAATCATGCTAATTCTCAGAATTTATCTGACAATAAAACCTTCCATTGTGTTTTCTGTGATGCTGATATCATTTATATTAAGTTAACATAATTATGTGATATGTATACAATATATTAAATTTATACATATATAAATACGTGTAATTAAATTTGCGTGCATATCCACAGTGTTCACATCACATCTAACTATTCAGCAGAATAACTGAAAGTCAGTACTAGCTTTTATAACTTAACGACTTCTTGAACTCACTGCCATCTATCAAAAAGTGTTTCTTCTTGACTGGAAGAAATATTTAGGGCAGTGGTTCTCAACCTTTCTAATGCCTGTGGCCATTTAATACAGTTCCTATGGGTTGCAACCCACAGGTTGAGAACTGCTGATTTAGGGAGAAAAACAAAACCATTTAGGGAGTTTGCTCAAAGATTCAGAAGCTCTCTCTGTCCTCCAAAATCTATCCTATGCCAGATCAGCAAAACAACTCTATATCACTTTCTTTTTGAAAATTTATCAAGCAGCAGTCATCAAGTCTTTACTGAATGCCTCCTGTTATGCTTATACTAATTCCTTGTTCAGTGGAGTGGTTTATTGCTCATGAAGTGTTTCCACATCCATGATTTCATTTGATTCTTGTGACAGGTGTGGGCAGAAATCAGCTCTGACTTCACTCTGAGGACTCTCGTTGGCCCAGAAGACATTTAGGATGCTCTGATTTAGCCCTTAGGCAGTCTGGTTGGCAAGATGAGTTATTCAAGCGAGTGAACTTTTGAGTGCCAAATTGAGAGGGTCCATTCCTAAGAGGGCAGGTGTTCAGAAAAGAAGCAATCATGAGGGCCAGGTACAGTGGCTCACACCTGTAATCCCAGTACTTTGGGAGGCTGAGGTAGGAGGATTGCTTGGGGCTGAGAGTTCAAGACCAGCCTGACAACACATTGAGAACCTGTCTCTGAAAACAGAAAAGAAAAACTGACTGGGTGTGGTGGTGTGCACTTGTAGTTATACCTACTCAGGAGGCTAAGGCAGGAGGATTGCTTGAGTTTAGGAATTGAAGGCTTGAGGCTGCAGTCAACTATGATTGTGCCACCACATTCCAGCCTGACAGAGTGAGTCTTTGTCTCAAAAAAAAAAAAAAAAAGAAAAGAAAAGAAACAGCAGCAATCATTGTGAAGAGTTGGAGAAATGTCAGGTGGCTTTGATGAAAACAGATAGTGTGAGAGGGGTTCTCAAGAGATTATTACATTCATTTATTCAACAGTAAGCATCGGGTGGCACCTGTGACTCAAGTAGTAGGGTACTGGCCCCATATATACTGGAGGTGGCAGGTTCAAACCTGGCCCTGGCCCCAAACTGCAAAAAAATAAAATAAAACAAAACAAAAAACAGCAAGTACCAAGGCCCTGGGTTTATGGTTAGGGATTTAGTGAATAAAGATAAGGTGTCTGCTCTCATAGAGTTGAGTCTCTGGTAAAGGGCAGACAGATAATAAACTAAATAAATGAACAAAAAATTTAGATAAGTGCTCTGAAGCCAATAAAACAGAACTATTTTAGATTAGGTAGTCAGAGAAGGCCTCACTGAGGAGGTGACTTTCAAACGAGTATCTCAGTCAAAAGAAGCAGCTGCTTGCTCTGGGGTCTGTGGGCAGAGCATGCCAGGCTGGTGTATGAAGTGGTAATGTGCTTGCCATGTTGGAGGAACTGAATCCTTCAAGGTAATGTGCTTGGCATGTTGAAAGCCCCTGTGACTTGAGTGAGTGAGCAGGAGAGCCACCAGGTGGGGTTGGGGGAAGGCCTGGGCAGGTAAGGTGCTGAAACACTTCGGAGGCAGTGTGGGTTAGCTCAGTGTCTGGCTGGGTTTCTAGAAGCTCAAGGATGTTATGAGTCTTCAAAGGCAAATACTTCATAAATGGATTGTGTGGTAATCAAAAGACCCTTTAAGGCATGAGTGTGCCTTGTGTGTTTTTTTCTGTAGCCGGGATGGAGGTGTGCACAGGGACCTGACTCGAGTACCCCTCCCTACCCAGCTGTATACCTGGGCTGCACCAGAAGTTATCTTACAGAAGGCAGCCACAGTGAAGTCGGACATCTACAGCTTTTCTATGATCGTACAGGAGATTTTAACAGGTAGATCAAGATCATTAATGGTTGAACAGAGTCCTTATTCTTAGGTCATATTTTTCCCTCTCAGAAATAATTTAATTTTTTGAAAATGTAGGACTTAAAAAAGAGAAATTTATTCAAGGAAATCTTTTTATGCTTATGGAAGGTAATCTTCCAGAAATCGTTTTAACTCTTCTTTAAGACTCATCAAGGTCTACCCCATCTGCCTGTCATTGATAGTACATTTAATCCAAGCCAAGTTTTTATATTGAGTGTTGTCAATACCTAGAATCTCTGTGACGTACCCCTTAGGGACTTGTAAATGAGGGGAAAAGACTGCCCTCTTAAGAAGCAGTTATGAAATTAAACACACCAAGGGTCCAGTAGATGTATAAACAGTGTCGCTTGAAAGAAATGGATGCCCTTCCAAACCACAGGACTCTAATGTGAAGAAACTGGTCACATTTGAAGACAGAAGGAATCCTTTCAAGAGAAGGACACACATAGGGTGGTGCCTATAGCTTGAAGAAGTAGGGCGCCAGCCCCATATGCCGGAGGTGGTGGGTTCAAACCCAGCCCCGGCCAAAAATTGCCAAAAAAAAAAAAAAGGAGAAGGACACACAGAATAAAACACATTCATCGAGGGAGCTGCCTTTCATTGTGTTTATAAACTTCTATGAAATAAATACATTCACTACCTAGCCTAATGCTATGAAATACTCCCTTCTGTTCCCCAGGTTTGCCAACAGGGAGCCTTTTTATACATGACACTGACACTGCTGTTTCCTATCTTTGTGTCAGGTATTTCCCTGGTAAATGGATGAAGTGGCTTCTTGTTTATAATTGGGCTTCCAGGTAGTTTTCTACAAGAGAAATTAATGTTTAAAGGGGTTGAGTGACTTGACTTAAGGTTACCCAGCTTCGTCTCATTTCATTTTTTCCCCCTCTCTACCTCCTGGTTTCTTAATGTTTCTCCTTCCTGTGACTTTTTCCTTACAGACAACATACCCTGGAATGGCTTAGATGGATCAGTTATTAAAGAAGCTATAGTCTTGGGAAATTATTTAGAAGCTGATGTCAGGCTTCCGAAACCTTACTATGATATTGTTAAGTCAGGCATCCAAGTCAAGCAGAAAGACCGAACTATGAACCTTCAAGATATCCGGTATATTCTGAAGAATGACTTAAAGGCAAGCCTTGAAGTTGTTGGGAGTTTATTTCTACTTACCCATCTCAGGAGAGTAGAGAGTAAGAGACTAAGATGAAACTAGAGACCCAAGTTGTAAGAATTTTTGGAAATCCTCATTTTATTATACTGTTTCTATGTTCCTGAGAAAAGCCTAACTCCTTAACTTCTTTCCCCCCTTTTTCTAACTCCTTTACTTGATGAGAGCAACAGGGAATTAAGGAGGGGATCAGGGGAGGTTCAGCACATAGTAGAGCCACACTGCAGGCACATAGAGATTCAGTGAATGGTAGCTATTACTACTGCCTTCAAGATACTGATAATAACGGTAATTTAGCCAATTAGGACTATAGTCAGCCTGCCCAACAGGAGTAAGAGGGAGTTTATCTGATACCTCAGTTGTTTTCTAAAATAGCATGACTATGACATGTCCTTGGCACTGTTTCCTGTGTTACAGGATTTTATTGGCGCCCAGAGGACTCAGCCAACTGAGGATCCCAGGGTGCAAAGATACAAACTCCATCCTGATGTCAGTGTCTATCTAGGACTGACTTCAGAACATCCGAAAGAGATCCCTGACTTGGAAATCAAAGAGCTGAAGGAAACAGGTATGATCTTAACTCAGAGGTTAAGCATCATTGTGACACATTTGTGTTCTAGAGTCTAAGCTGCAACTAATTGCCTACTCCAAACTGTGCGTATAACTTAATGCTGGGAAAAGCCTTAGGGGAAAAAATCAAGATCCTTAAAATAACTCAATTAAACTTTGTAGGCTCCATATATATCTGGCATGGATCCAGAACTAAATAGTAGCAGTGAGTTTATTTCTAGCATGATTAGTCTTTAGAATTTATCTAGTTTCTTCACAAGTAAAAATGATCTTTAAATTGAAAACTACTAAATGGTTTTTACAGAAAATTTGAAAAAGTAGAAAGAATAAAATTACTTATCATTCTAATTCTCTATTCTAGAAAAAATTTGTTAACATTTTAGTTTTTCCTTCCAACCTTTTTTCTACTTTTTCTTTCTTTTTTCCCCTTGAGATAGGGTTTCACTGTGCTGCCCAGGCTGGTCTTAAACTCCTGGGTCAAACAATCTTGAATAGCTGGGTTACAAGCATACACCACAACACCCAGCTTTTACTGCTTTTTAGTGTTTTTGAAAACCATAGAATTTAGAGGTAGAAAAGACCTTGCAATCATCAGTTTTAATGCCCTCATATTACAAATGAGAAAGCTAAGGTACAGGGAGCTTGTGACTTGTTCAGGTTCACAGCTTGTTACACAACTGGAACGCAACCCTTCTACTTCTAGCCAAACATCTGTTCTCTGTGGCTTTCCTTTTGACATGGCTAGAGGCCTCCAGAGTGGCCCGTCACTGACTTCTTTATCCTATTCTCTGCAAGCAGTACAGTTGTTGGCCAAGGGTTGTGGGTGGTCAATCCTGGTGTTACATTTGAGTTATTTATTCCTCCCAAGATGCAGTGGTTTCTTGGGCAGTATCTCAGCTTCTTTTATCAGATGCTCACTAAAAGCACAACTTTCACATAAATAGTCAAACTCTTGTGTGTGTAAAGAAAGGTATGACTGTGGTCCTTAAGATTCAAGGTCCTATAATTTGCATGTCCTGACAGTTATGAATGTCTGAGCGCACTTTAAATGAAGCTTAGAATGTTTCCCCCAGGGTTTGACTCCCTGCCCCAAATTTCTGCCTCATCCCATGTCAAAATGAGAACTTTCACCTATGTTAAAAATACTTCCACAACTGGGAAGGAAGTGGGAAAATAAAAAGCTTTCTTTTGTGTGTTCTTATCCTCTTGCTTAAGCCTGATTAGGTTTGAATGTCATTACTTTAATCAGTTGTGTGCTCCTATTCTTTTCAACAGGCAGTCAGCCTCATTCACCTAGGAGTCCCTTTTCTCCCATTGAGAAAGGAGTACTAAATCCTCAGCCCCCAGGTCCCAATCTGGCTGCCAAAGACACTCAGAATCAAGACATTTCTTCTGATCCATTTGTGGCAGAAGAGGCCAGCAGCCCCAGCCTAGGTCAGGCAAGCCTCTGCAGCTTTGAAATCAATGAAATCTATTCAGGCTGCCTGAACTTGGGAGATGACAAAGAGGAAGAGCTTCCAGGAGCTCCTTCATCTCTTGAGGGGAATAGACCAAACCAGGCAGATGAACTGAAGTCCATGGAAGAAGAGTTGGATAAAATGGAGAGAGAGGCATGCTGTTTTTGTGATGAGGACGAGAGTTCTTCAGAAGCTGACACAGAGCTCTCCTTTGAGGACTGGGACCAGCAAAATGGTTCGTTTAGTTCACTCAGCCTACCTGAGCCAACTAGAGAAGTCAAGGGCAATGTAAACAACAGGTCCATGACTGAGGAATACATCAGTAAGTGTGTGCTCAATCTAAAGATTGCACAGACATTAATGCACCAGAATGCCAGTTTGCTGAAGAATACGCAACAGAAAATAAATAAACTTGAGATGATACAGAAGGAGCAGGAAGAGCACAGGTCTTTTTGGGCTACTTCAAGAGAGTTTGTAAATGTCTACAATTTGCCTTCAGCCCTGGGTCCTCCAGCTTCAAGTTACATTCCTCCTGTTGTGCAGCAGTCAGGGGGCCAGCAGCCAGACATCAGAGTCAACTGTCCAACCCTAGAAAGGTTTCCGAGAACAGTGAAAGACTTTCAAGGAGGACATTTTGGCAAAAGGTCCAGGAAAAGAGATGCTTGTGGCTGGAAACCTTTCATCCAAGTCTCTGAAGAAAGCACAGGGGATAAGTCAGAGACAAGCCACCAGGTAACCTAAGTGGGAAAAGGGGCAGCCTAAGCAGGACCTGAAAATCAGGTTCAATGTTGCTCCAGCCTGGATGCAAGGACTGACATGTAAACGCAACCAGCTTGAAGCAAGGTCTGGGTGGCTGGGAAATAAGTCCTCTAGGATGGAATTTTAAGGTAGATTCTCTTTACCTCCCACTCCAAATGCAACACAAAGCCCATGTTCTGTTCCGTAAATTCATATGCATTAGATTGAACCATAAGAGATTGTTGTTTTGGCCAGGTGCGGTGCCTCATGCCTATAATCCTAGTACTCTGGGAGGCCGAGGTGGGTGGATTGCCTGGAGTTCAAGACCAGCCTGAGCAAGAGTGAGAACCTATCTCTAATAAATAGCTGGGCATTGTGGTGGGGCCTGTAGCCCCAACTACTCAGGAGGCTGAAGCAAGAGAATCACTTGAGCCCAAGAATTTGAGGTTGCTGTCAGCTAAGACTTCATGGCACTCTACGGAGGGCAACAAAGTGAGACTCTTAAAAAAAACCCAAAAACTCCTTCACAGTTAAACCAATCAAGTATTGGCAATTTTACATCCTAAGTTACTTATTCATTCACTTAACAAATATTTATAAAGGCAGAGGCTATATTAGTCTCTAGGATATGATGATGAATAAATCATAAGCTCTGCCTGTAAGTAGCTGAAACACCAGTGGGGGACCAAGGGATCTGGTGGTCAAAAACGACACCTTAGAAGAGGTGAACAGACACCAGGAGAGCCAACTGGGAGTTGTAGCTTGAGGCTTATGGAGATTTCTTTTTTTTTTTAAGACAGAGCCTCAAGCTGTCCCCCTGGGTAGAGTGCTATGGCTTCACTGCTCACAGCAACCTCCAACTCCTGGGCTCAAGCGAGTCTCCTGCCTCAGCCTCCCAAGTAGCTGGGACTACAGGCGCCCGCCACAACGCCCGGCTATTTTTTGGTTGCAGCCATTATTGGTGTTTGGTGGGTCTGGGCTGGATTTGAACCTGCCACCTTAGGTGTATATGGCTGGTGCCTTAGCCGCTTGAGCCACAGGCGCTGAGCCAGCTTACGGAGATTTCAGAGTGGCTCCTCTTTGAACTCCTTAAGGGCAGAGTTCCGGCCTTGCTCATTCTATGTTCTGGCACCTAGCATGATACCTGATATGATCATTGAAAGAATGAGTGAATGAATGAATTTGAACAAATTCACATGTAGAGAACTGGCTGCCTCTCGAATCATAGAATTTTATTTTATTTTTTGAGACAGAAAAAAATTTTATTTTTTGAGACAGTGCTGTGGCATCATAGCTCACCGCAATCTCAAACTCTAGGGCTCAAGTGATTCTCTTGTCTTAGCCTCCCGAGTAGCTGGGACTGCAGGCACCCACCACAATGCCTGTCTATTTTTTTGAGATAGCATCTCACTCTTGCTCAGGCTGGTTTCGAACCTGTGAGCTTAGACAACCTGCCTGCCTCGGCTTCCCAGAGCGCTAGCTAGGATTACAGGTGTGCAGCATCGTGTTGGGCCTGAATCATAGGATTTTAGAACTGAAGATCCCTCAGACATGGATCAACCATAAAAGAGTGAGAAGTTCAATCTCAGTGACTTAAACTTCCCAAGGTCCAGTGGTGTTACCAAGATAGGGGTTGGGTAGGAGAGGTCTGCCTCATTAAAAGGAGGATTTTATTACTTAATTTACGTTTGCTGTTTCCAAAGTATCATAGTCTCTATTATGTTGTATTTTATTGTCATAGCATCCCTACTGTTAAGTGTTTTTTCCTTGTTTTATGGATGAGGAAACTAAAGTATAAGATTTTCTTAAGTTAGTGTGAGACTAGAACCCAAGGATTAGATTAGAACTCAAAGCTGCTGCCACAAAGATCTGCCTTCATATTAATGTGGATGGAAAAATGCTCAGGAAAGCATTTAGATTTTTTATTTCTGTATTGCTGCTCTTTGTCCACTTGCATCCTGTCTGGACTAGGTTCCTGGGAGCCAACATTTCTAGATAAAGGCCTCTTGATAAGAGGTAGATTACTAGATACGAAATATGCAAAGGCAAATTGTCTTGATACATCTGGTTAGTTCACATTTAGCAAGAATGGCTTTGAAAGAATGTGAGACTAAAAAGAAGAGAAATCCTCTCATCAAAGCACTGAAACATGTTTATTACTTTTTAAGCTGCTGACTCTTTGTGGCCCTGGAAAGCAGAACACAGGTAAACAATTTCAGCCCTCTCAAGAAGCCAAGGATAGTTTGGAAAGAAGCAGGAACCAACATACCAGTAGGTGTGTCAACATTGATCATTCTTTGTGTCGCCATGCCTTTAGTCTCTCTTATGAGCCAGAAGTCACTTAATGATCTTCATGTGTTGAGTGATAAAGGGACTGTGAGCAATGAAGAGTGATATAGAGGCAGACAGTGTGTCGCCTTCCCCTGCTGAGTGAGTGGGAAGAGCAGGGGAACAGAACTTTGTAGGAGACATCAAAGGCCCAGGGGCCGTCAGGTTCATCAGACAGAACTCACCGGTTGTCAAAAGCAAAGCATTTCACTTTTCTAAAAATGCGCAGATAGTTATTCTATAAAAAGAAATGCCAAGTAGCCGAGAGGGGGGAGAGGGTGGGGTGGGGTCTCAGTGTATGGTACACCCCTTGGGGGCAGGACACAAGTACAAGAGAGACTTTATCTAACAAATGCAATCGGTGTAACCTAATTCTTTATACCCTCAATGAATCCTAGGCAATAAAAAAGTAAAAATAAATGCCTGGTTTTCCATTTGCTAGTGTTCTAGAAACCAAACTCATTGGAAACTAGTGTTGTTTAAAGTAACCATCACTGACTCTAGATGGGAAGCTGAACAATATCACTATTGCCCTGGAGTATCTGATTTCCAGCCAGATCAATGAAATGAATTTGCTTTAGCACCACAGATCACTGGGAGGGGTATATATATGTATACTGAGATTTGTTTCTTTGTTTTTGAGATCGGATCTCATTGTGTTGCCTAGGCTAGAGTATAGTGGTGTTACAGCTCACTTCAACCTCAAACTTCTGGGTTCAGCAGATCCCCCTGCCTCACCTTCTTAAGTAGTTGGAATTCTGGAACTACAGGCTTACACCACCACACATGGCTAATAATTTTTGGTTTTTTGGTAGAGATGAGGATCTTTCTCTGTTGCTCAGGTTGGTCTTAAATCCTTTCCTAAAGTGATCTTTCCTCCTCGGCTTCCCAAAATGCTAGGCCACCACCTGACAGCACTGAGTTTTTAAGAACTTATGTAGGGCAGTGCCTATGGCTCAAGGGGTAGGGCATCAGCCCCATATACCGAGGGTGGCAGGTTCAAAGACAGCCCCGGCCAAACTACAACAGAAAACTAGCTGGGTGTTCTGGCAGGTGCCTGTAGCCCCAGACAGCCTCTTGGGAGGCTGAGGCAAGAGAATCGCCTAAGCCCAGAGTTGGAGCTTGCTGTGAGCTGTGTGACACCACAGCACTCTACCGAGGGTGACAAATAAGACTCCCTCTCTACAAAAAAAAACACCTTATGTAAAAGAGGCTCGGCGCCTATAGCACAGTCGGCCACATACACTGAGGCTGGTGGGTTTGAACCTAGCCCAGGCCTACTAAACAACAATGACAACTGCAACAAAAAAATAGCTGGGTCTTGTGGGGGTGCCTGTAGTCCCAGCTACTTGGGAGGCTGTGAGAAGAGAATCACATAAGCCCAAGAGTTTGAGGTTGCTGTGAGCTGTGATGCACAGCACTCTACTGAGGGTGATATAGTGAGACTCTGTCTCCAAAAAAAAAAAAAAAAAACTAAAAACCTATGTAAAACAAATTTCATTTTGTATAGAGGATTTATTAAAGGTGCAATAAATGTTTCTCAGCATAAACTAGTATATCAGTTTTTCTTTTCTGTAGATAAATGACAGCCCTAATCCATAGCTTCGAAGTCAGTTTTCCTGGAAAAAGATAACCTTCCTCTAGTAGTGACTGAGACTGATGACTATAGCGTTTTGCTCTTCCTTTCATGTTAGTAAGTACAGTATGTGCATGTACATACTACAGCTCATCCTTGTAATCCCGACACTCTGGAAAGCAAAGGAAGGATCGCATGAGATGAGGAGCTCAAGATCAGACTGAGCAACATAGTGAGACCCCATCTCTACAAAGAATTTTAAAAGTTAGCCAGGCATGGTAGCACGTTCCTGTAGTCCCAGCCCCTGGGGAAGCTGAGGCAAGAGGATTGCTTGAGCACAGAAGTTCAAGTTTACAGTGAGCTATGATCGCACTATAGCTTGGGCAACAGATGAAGACACTGTCTCTTCAAACAAACAAAAAGTGCAGGAGGAAACAGGAAGAAAAATGCCAAATATGTTAATAAATCAGCTTATTTTTTACCCATAGTTAAAACCCATAGGTTTCACCCTATTCCCCCAAAAGAACAAAAAAGAAAAAGTGTAATGTTTGTCTAGTGATTCACCTAATTTTTTGGTATGCTTTAAAAAAATAAAATGGGCCGGGCGCTGTGGCTCACACCTGTAATCCTAGCATTCTGGTAGACTGAGGCGGGTGGATTTCTTGAGCTCACGAGTTAGAGACCAGCCTGAGCAAAAAAGAGAGTCCTCATCTCTACTAAAAATAGAAAAACTGAGGCGAGAGGATCACCTGAGCCCAAGTTGGAGGTTGCTGTGAGCTCCTCCAAGGTAGAATGCCATGGCACTCTACCCAGAGTGACAGCCTGAGACTCTGTCTCCAAAAAAAAAAAAAGTGAAACAATAAAAAAATAAAATGGCAGGGCCAGGCATGGTGGCTCATGCCTGTAATCCCAGCACTTGGGAGGCCAAGGCAAGTGGATTGCCTGAGCTCACGCGTTTGAGACCAGCCTGAGCCAGAGCAAGATTCCATCTCTAAAAAATAGCCACATGTTGGGCGGTGCCTGTGGCTCAAAGGAGTAGGGCACTGGCCCCATATACCAGAGGTGGTGGGTTCAAACCCAGCCCTAGCCAAAAAAAGTGCAAAAGAAAAAAAATAGCCACATGTTGTGGCAGGTGCCTACAGTCCCAGCTACTGGGGAGGCTGAGACAAGAGGATTACTTGAACCCAAGAGTTTGAGGTTACTGTGAGCTAAGACACCATGACACTTTACCAAGGGTGACCAAGTGAAACTCTGTCTCTAAAAAAAATAAATAATAAAATGGCAATTACTATACCTGTAGGCAATTTATATATCCCAACTTTTTGTTTTATGTTATACCATGTTATTTAAAGAAAGACCCTGTTAACTTATTTTGAAATTATTGGATTTCACTTACTGTTCAATTTTAGGTGGTTTTATTTTTTATTCTGTTATAAACAGGGCTACAGCTACTTAAATAATTCTTTTTGCATTTTGGATTTTGTCCTTAAGATGATTCCTGGAAGCAAAATTACAGGGTCAAAGGTTTTGAACATTTAAAAAATTATTGATAGCTTTTGCTAAAAAGCTCTTTAAAAAAGCTGATCAGGGTTGGCGCCTGAGGCTCAGTGGGTAGGGCGCTAGCCCCATATACTGAGGGTAGTGGGTTTGAACCCCGCACCTGTCAAACTGCAACAAAAAATAGCTGGGTGTTATGGCAGGAGCCTGTGGTCCCAGCTATTCGGGAGCCTGAGGCAGGAAGATCACCTAAGCCCAAGAGGTAGAGGTTGCTGTGCACTGTGATGCCACTCTGTCTCTTAAAAAAAAAAAAAAGCAAACAAAAAACTGATCAGATCTGACCTTTTTGATTCAACAGTTTATCTGCTTTTTGGTCCAGCTGGGGTGTAGGGCATTCTGCATAACAGGGAATTCATATCTATACCATAAATCACATAATTTTGAATTTGCTGTGTTTTCCAGGATGGCCTTGACCTCCTAGAATCAAGCAGTACTCCTGCCTCAACCTCACAAGCAGCGGGGACTACAGGCATGCACCACTACTCCCAGCAAATCATGGGATAGTTAGAGGGAAAAAAAGATTCCCTTGGGGCCAGGCCCAGTGGTTCACACCTGTAATCCTAGCACTCTGGAAGGCTGAGGCAGGTGGATTGCCTGAGTTCACGGGTTTGAGACCAGCCTGAGCAAGATTGAGACCCCGTCTCTAAAAATAGCTGGGTGTTGTGGTGGGAGTCTATAGTCTACTCAGGAGGCTGAGGCTAGAGAATCACTTGAGCCCGAGTTTGAAGTTGCTGTGAGCTATGACGTCAGGACAAAGTGAGACTGTCTCAAAAAATAAAATAAAGACTTCGGCTTGGCACCTGTAGCTCAAGTGGCTAAGGCGCCAGCCACATACACCTGAGCTGGCGGGTTCAAATCCAGCCCAGGCCTGCCAAACAACAATGGTGGCTGCAACCAAAAAATAGCCAAGTGTTGTGGTGGGCACCTGTGGTCCCAGCTACTTGGGAGGCTGAGGCAAGAGAATCACTTGAGCCTAGGAGTGGGAGGTTGCTATGAGCTGTGATGCCATGGCACTGTACCCAGGGTGACGGCTTGAGGCCTCTGTCTCAAAAGCAAACAAACAAACAAACAAGAAAACTCCCTTATTTTGAATATGAGAAAACCTTGGCCCAGAGAGATTGACATTTGCTAGTCAGAGAGCTAACCTAGCAGTTAGGTCAGGGTCTGGAACTCAGTGAGACTACACTGAAGGTCACTGAATATTCTTTAGGATATCTAGTGTCTCATGACCATCTTTACAAATGTTAGTTATTATACTGTTAACTGGTAGGTGGGCCTGATACAAGAGAATTTTGAGGGGAGGGCACCTAAACTATCACCTGCAATTTGTGGCACTCGAGGGAGGAGAGGCTCTGCAGCAGCCCAGGGATTAGGGTTCTCTCTGGCAAAACTGCATTTCAATTGTGAGTTTCTTCTACCTTTGAAAATTTCCCAAGAACATTTTTAGAAACATAAAATCTGAACTTGGAAACTGAAAAAAACCTTAGAGCTCTTCTAGCCCAGTCCTTTCATTTTAGCCAAGGAAGACCTAGAGAGTTCAATGCCCAAGCCAAAGTCACAGAGCTAAATAGTGCATTCTCCACTGTGTCAAGCCACCAGCAGGGACTGGGTAGGTCACCCAGCCCTCAGCAGGATGCTACCCGGTAAGGTTCCTTATGGTTTGAAAACTAGGGGCGGGGGTGGTGGGTCTGGCACCCTCTGGTGGTGTAAAGGAATCGTTGCAACTCAAGGAATGACTGGAAGGCATTACGGGACCTTTCCTCTGGGTGGGCTGGTGGGCTTTTGAGTTTTGTCAGGAACTTCAGCAAACAAATGTGTTTGTGTCCATTTTGTTTCTCTCCTCCTGAACAAACAGGATCAGTGTGGAATCTATGTCTTCTCAAATCTATAATACAAAATCAAGAAATAATGAAGATGATGGAGCGGTACACTTAAGATGGAAAAGTGAGTATAAAGTCATGGGTTTTTGTTAGACAGAATTGAATTTAAGGTATGTTTGTGGCTGGATATGAGTATGATGGCTCATACCAGTAATCCCAGAACTTTAGGAGGCTGAAGCAGGAGGATTGTTTAAGGCAAGGAGTTCAAGACCAGACTGCATAAGTAACATAGTAAGATCACATCTCTGCAAAATTGTTTTAAAATTAGCCAGGCATGGTGGTGTGTGGCTATAGTCTTAGCTACTTGGGAGGCTAAGGTAAGAAGACCATTTGAGCCCAAGAGTTTAAGGCTATAGTGAGCTATGACCATGCCACTGCCTGGGCAACAGGGCAAGACCTTGTCTCTAAAAAAATAAAATAAATTGAGCATGATGGCATGTGCCTATAGTCCCAACTACTTTGGAGGCTGAAGCAGGAAGATCACATGAGCCTAGGAGTTTGAGGTTCCAGTGAGCTATAAAGATGTCATTGCACTCTAGCCTGGGCAACAGAGCAAGACCCTATCAGAAGGAAGGGAGGGAGAGGGGCAGAGAAAAGTAAGGGAAAGAAAGGAAGGCATATTGGTTCCTACAGTATATTTCTTTTTTTTTTTGGCTGGGGCCAGGTTTGAACCCACCACCTCCATTATATGGGGCCAGCACCCTATTCCTTTGAGCCACAGGCACCGCCTCCTATAGTATATTTCTTGTCACAAAAACACCACCAAACTTCTAAATAAAGACCAAAACACTTCTAACATTAAACACTGAAATAGAAAAATGTGAACTATACAACATAAAAAAGATGAATAAAGACAGGTAAGATAATTACTTACCCGATTATTTCAGTTTAGGCGTATGGTGGCAGCTCAGAGCATAAGGAAGGAATCAACCCTGGATGGGACACTATCTCATTGCAGGGTGCACTCACACTCAGCCTCACTGGGACAGTTTAGACATACCAGTTCATCTAATAGGAGGTGGGAGGAAACCAGAGTCCCTGGAGGACACCCATGCAGACAGGGGTAGACTATGTAAGCACCACAGTTGCCATAGCTGGGAAAGGAGTCCCCCTCCCCCAACATTATAATGAAGTGATATTAAACAAAACTCTGTAATTGGAAGACCTTTTGTATAGATACTTAATACATAATTAAAGTGGAGAGCATTCAGTGTTAACTCTTGTTTCCTATGGGCATTATTATCCTCTTATAAGCTTAAAAGGATTTTTTTTTTTTTTTTTGAGACAGAGTCTCACTTTATTGCCCCGATAGAGTGCCATAGCGTCACAGCTCAAAGCAGCCTCCAACTCCTGGGTTTAGGCGATTCTCTTGCCTCAGCCTCCCGAGTAGCTGGGACTACAGGCGCCCGTGACAACGCCTTGCTATTTTTCTGTTGCAGTTAGGCCGGGGTCAGGTTTGAACCCACCACCCTCAGTATGTGGGTCCAGCGCCCTACTCACAGATGCCGCCCAAAAGGATATGTTTTTTTAGAAAATACTAGTGCTGGCTCGGCGCCTGTGGCTCAACCGGCTAGGGCGCCAGCCACGTACACCTAGGGTGGCGGGTTCGAGTCCCCAGCCCGGACCCGCCGAACAACAATGATGGCTGCAACCAAAAAAATGGCCGG